TGGTATGCGAGCGATTGTACAGCTGAGTGGAGAGACCTCGGATGACTTTACAGTTGTCTCTGGTGTGAAGCAAGGCTGTGTGTTAGCTCCTGCCCTGTTTAATATATATCTTCATGCAATGTTGTCTTGTGCTTTTGATGCGGCTTGTGCTTACAGTGTTCGTGTGGAGCACCGTATTGATGGTGGGTTGCTGAACATCCGTCGTTTCGGTGCGAGAACTCTAGTCTGTGAGACAACTATCCGTGTGTTGCTGTTTACTGACGACTGTGCGTTGTTTTCACACAGCGCGGATGACTTGCAGCACATGACTAGTGCTATGGCTACGACAGCGGCAAAATTCGGGCTCACCATCAACACAAGCAAAACTGTCTGTCTCTTTCAGCCTTCACCGGAGGTGCAATCTTCAATATTGCCACGAATCAGCATTGGTGCTGAAGTATTGGAAACCACCTCCCGCTTCTGCTACCTTGGGAGTGTGATGTCGACTGATCAGCAGCTACACGTTGAGTTGCATAATCGCGTGTCCAAGGCAGCGGCTGCATTCGGGAAGCTTGAGTACCGAGTGTGGAACAACCATTAGCTTAGCATTGGCACAAGGCTGATGGTGTACAAACCCATGGTACTGTCTGTTCTTCTATACGGCGGAGAAACTTGGACGATGTACCGTCGGGATGTGCGATATCTCGAGCGGTTCCATCAGCAGTGTCTGAGACGGATTTTGCGGATCGGCTGGGGCGACAGAGTTGCAGACACGGAAGTGTTGCGACAAAGTGGGATGTATGCAGTGGACTGCATACTTTTATTGAGACACCTGAGATGGCTCGGTCATGTGAGCCGTATGGATTCGGGGCGGATACCGAAACAACTCTTATACGGTCAGCTGAGTATAGGGAAGCGGCATGCTGGGAAACCAAAGTTACGTTACCATGACATGATTAAAGTGAGCCTCACACGTTCTAATCTTGATTGCAGATCATGGGAATCGAAGGCGGTTGATCGTGGTGCATGGCGCGATCTAATCACGAAGGCAGTTGCTGAAGTGCGGGAGAAAGCCCTCATGCATGCAGAGAAGAAGCGGCAAGTGCGGAAGCGGCAAGCACCAATGAATTGTACTCCATGGACATCGAGCGCATGGTGCTGTAGAACATACGGTCGCGAGTGCCTTAGTCAGGCAGGCCTAGTGAGCCATGAGAGAGGTCACTCGGGACCACTGCCGAAGCAACGACGGGTCCCGCAGTGAACGTAGGCAGCACCGGCGCAGCGTTTGTAGGCACGCTGAATTCGATTTACTAACCGCATGCTTGCATGCTAAGTCTCTTTATTTCAGGTGGTGGGTTTACAGTTTATACCTTAATGCTTTTCTTTCTCATATAAATATCTCCCTGTACTCTATTCCATTAACTTGCACACATCGCTTCAGCCAATTGTAATCGATTTCCATAATATTTTTGTGTTCGTGGCATTCCGTGAACTATACTTTCTGACATCGTGCACTTAGTTAGGATCTGTTTGTAAACAACTTATTACATATGCTATATACTAAAGGTTTATATCACCGCTTCCTTATGCATTAATCGAGTTTTTCTCTTTTTCTTTTTTTCCTTTTCTTTCTCTCTCTCTCAGGTGTTTGGCTGTTGTTTGATATCCCCGGTGTGGCTGCGATTGATGTGCATGTTGAGAAGGTGCCTACCTGTCTATTACCCACTACCTCCTCCAAACTGGCTCCAGGAGACAGTTGGTCGTTGCTGGAGGGGACGGGGTGCACGGTTCTTGTGGTCGTGTTATGCTCGAAGAGTGGTCCCATGCACTCAGTGTGGAACGGACTACGGTCCAGCCACCGCCTTGTGTGCGCTTGATTCCCAAATACAGTGTACTTGTGTTTGCCTGTGAAGGAGTGTGGGCCGGCTCCGTTAATGAAACGTGGTTCCCATTCGCATGCCTCCCGGTCTTATTCCTTCGGGTTTACACTGGATATGGGGTATGTGGTTGGAGCTGTGGGTGATGCAGCGCAAGCCATCCATGGTCCCTCTGTAGGCGCAGGCGTCCTGTGGCTTGCCACAGTGACAGGCAAATCCGAAACCGGATGCCGCCAACCATGTATGTATGTATTTCATTCCGCTTTATTTGGTTTGTTCTGCCTCCCTGAATAATGTTCTATTAACTGGCCACGTTACATACACTAATTGTGCTTATCTTCGGTAATTTTGTTGCGTTTGGAGCAATTTAAGTAACTTGTGGACATTTCTTACTTTTCACGGATTTGTTGCTAACCAACTTACTTCATATGGTAATTTAGCGAAGAGTTATGCCACCGTATCTGTATGCATTATTTGATTTATTTTATTTCAGCTTGTCGTTTAAAGTGAATGGCTGTTGTTTGATATCCCTTGTATGGTTGCGCTTGATGTGTATGTTGACAAGGTGCATACCTGTCTATTACCCACTATCTCGTTCATACTGGCTCCAGGAGACAGTTGGACGTTGCTGGAGGGGACGGGGTGCACGGGCATTGTGGCCGTGCTAGGCTCAAAGAGCGGTTCCATGCACTCAGTGTGGAGCGGACTACGGTCCAACCACCGCCTTGTGTGCGGTTGATTCCCCAAATACAGTGTGCTTGTGTTTGCCTGTGAAGGAGTGTGGGTCGGCTCCGTTGATGAAACGTGGTTCCCATCCACATGCCTCCCGGTCTTATTCCTTCGGGTTTACACTGGATATGGGGTGTGTGGATGGAGCTGTGGGTGGTGCAGCGCAAGCCATCCATGGTCCCTCTGTAGGCGCAGGCGTCCTGTGGCTTGCTACAGTGACAGGCAAATCCGAAACCGGATGCCGCCAACCATGTATGTAAGTGTGCATGAACGTATCTGTGTAGTCTGTGTTTGTGAATGTGTCGCAGCATCTTTGACTGTTTGTAGTCATCAGGAATGTGAGAATAAGCGATTGGTGTCCGTGGGTTTCACAGCATTTCCCAGATATCCACGGGGCAGTGACTTTAGTTGTGACGAGTCACATCCACCACGTCTTAATGTTGATAAGCAGACATTTGTGGCTTTTTTACTGGGAGAACGCTTGCCAGGCGAAAACCCACCACTTCCTGGAACACTGACTCCAAATTATTTGCTGGAACGGATTAAAGCCGAACCACCCAGCTGGCGCCACTAGGAGGTTGTTCGGATAGCTATCTGAGCTTTTGAACCTGTACCATTATCCGACATTTACATTCGGGTCATTCATTTGTGGTGTAGTAGCCTGATGAGCAACCACCGAAAACGAGTCTGTTCGCTAACTATTGTTTCTGACAAATGTGAGACTTTTATAGTCTGACACGGTGGCAACGAGGGTGTAGCGGACACGTCAGTTCACAGTGGGGCGAGCTGCTGCATCGGAGATGGCTAAGTTGCTTGATAACTTGTTTACTTAGGCATGTGTATACATGTGAAAATGTGCGTTTCCGAAAACAGGAAGCACTTTATGGGCTCCACATTCCAGCACTATTGTGTGATAGGCGTAAATAGCCCAACAATTCCCTAAACCCAACTTGTGCAGTTTACTCAACCACTGAGTAGTTGTCCACACAATGTGGCTTGGGTGTTTCCCAGGAGCAAGATGATCTGACGATTCAAGCAATACTGTAAGTGTAGAGTCAATTGATGGATGTTTGGTCGACTGCGAACTCTCTTACTGGACAAGTGTGAACCAAGGGAGCATGGTGAACAGCTTAAACCTGTTATCCCAGTTCGTCTCATTGTCGTGTTAAACGGATTACTCAATCAACCCAACGGAACTGAGGCTTCTGCGGTGGCATCAACCTTGATAGACATATGGCAATTATAAAGTGCTTATTCGTCCGAGCACATCACGGCACCTTGATGACCGAGTAACTTGCAGATAAGCTTTACACTGCTATCCTGCACTCAGGCGGTTCACGACTATCATGTCCACCTCAGTGAGCATAACGACGCCTAAGTCAGTGTTTCCTTGAGGCCTGATCATGTTTGGATACTCCGGCTGCAAAAGTTAGCCTTCCATCTTTGCTGAACTGACAAACATGTGCTTGGCCGAATACTCCAAGCTGTCTGTTGTATCGTCATCAATGGCCCGCACTCCACGACAGCAATGAGAGCACCAACGACGGGCTAGGACAGAATTGTATGCATGCGAATAGTGGGATAGTGATAGGAGCAAAGCTACTAAAACAAATCGAAGCCGACCAACAAGGTAGGAGACACTGAATAACGTAGGGTAAGGAGAAATGATAAAAATACGAGCCAATCACGTTTGTCCGATAAAATGGCATCAGCGGAAACTGGACACTGAGATATTAGCTATTAAGAGAGGTGGATGCTGGCCAAGCAAATTAAAGAAACGACGCATTTAAACGAAGGTCATGAAACGAACAAGAGCAAAATGAAAACCGGAACATAGGGGAAACGTCACATAAATATGTCTTTCCAGTAGGTATCCTTCTAACACTGTGACTTTCCGATTGTTGTAGGATGGTCATCACATGTAACAAGAGTCGCACACTGCTTCGACTATACCGATAAGTATCTTGTGGTTCACGAGATGACGGAATTGCTCACTCACGTCGTACTTCCACCACATCAACAGTAAAACACAGTACTGCCTTCCATCAAATGAGCAACAGTGTGATGGTTCACGTAGAACTGGTTTATGTGGTTACCCATCATCCTGACCGAGTTCACCTATAAATAGCTACGTGCACAATTGTACAGCGAATGCTGCTGGTTTCACTGTTGTAAACGAAGTTCATGTTGGTTATCGTGATGTTCGTTTCACGGAATATTATGCTTACTAAATTTACTCAGATTATATGAGATCATGAAGCATTAAAAGAAGAATTAAAAATCTACTATGCTCCGTTGAATAGGTACTATCACCGACTGAAGAAATCCGAAGGCAATTTGAGCAGGTGGACACCCGTTAATTGCAGTAGGATTCAGACTACAAAACGGACTTTTCAACTTTATTTTAGGCCTCACTTGTCTTCGCTGAATCGTTTCCTCGACACGAAGATCGGCCAATTTTGACTGACACTGGATTAACTTCCGTTCAAGCGATTCCTTCTTTTGCGAACTTCCAAAGTCGGTAGCATCATCGACTAACTTGAAGTGCTTCACCAGTTCGTTCCGTTCACGGTCACCCTGCAAACTAGCTTCTGCCTTAATGGCACGTTGTATCGCGGTCTCCAGTTCCAACTGCAAACGAGCACGCTCGCGTGAAATCTCAGCGTACCGAGAGGCTACTCGCTCTTGTTCCGCGATGGGCACACAGCCGGCGTAGCGGGCCCTGAGAGTCTGAGATAACCAAGGGAGAGGCAGACAATCGATAAATCCTGAATCACAAAAATTGTTATTAGTATTGGACCTTTTTACATACATTCAATTATAGCGCAGTAAAAATGGGCGGTGCGTAGACCGAAGTAGCACTCGGTGTCAGCTCCTTTAGCTGAAACGAATGAATTAGTTGATTTGTCCTTAAGAAACCAACCAAGTAGTCAGCTAGATTATTCCCACCGCCCATCGACGCCGAGTTATCAGAAGGCATTTTTAAGAAGTTAGCGACAATCTGTTGGTTACATAACTTACCCGACAGGTCGTTAACGACCACAATTTTAGTAAACAGAGTTATTAATTTTTAATCGGTACTGCTAAAGTGCGTCAAACTCGAAGTTCTGCTACAACAAGAAACGCCGACAGTCGTAGCTACAGCGAAACGCTGAGCAAAGTGATGCCACTGGACATATGCTCCATTGTAAACCGAATCGCCTTCATTCTATTGAACACTGGTGACCGCTGAATCGCATTCCTTGTAGGACAATCTTTCTTCTAAGGAAGTGTTGAACACATATCTTTTGCTTTGTTAAGATTATGCAATTGCCCGAATCGATTGGAATGTCAGTTCATCCTGCTTGCATTGAGAAACTTTCCGCTGCCCTGACAATTTTATAACCTGAGTTATTCTACTTTACACCAAAATAACTTACCATCCATGCCGGACACTGGTGAGTTTGCTCGACGGACTAACTTCGTATAGCTCAACACAAGGAAGGCGCATTTGTCAAAAATACGAGGAGGATCAACAAAACTTTGATCAAGATGACATCACAATGACCGATGGACAAGGGAGACGTTTTAAGTCTTGTGGAAACACAGCTGCGAAACTACACGGACGGATACCGGAAAATGTAGTTGTATTTAGCTCTCAATTGATTACAGTTTTCCACTGGTATTAGTGAAAGATTTCTACAATGTGGTGATTCAAAACGCTTTTGAGCACAGGCTGGAGGATGAGCCGTGGGGACTAACGACAACCTCGAGTATTCAGATCTGGCATTGGTTTGCGAGACTGCGCGAATCAGCATCAAATAGCTGCACTGAAGATGTTACCTAGTTTGGTAACGAAACGTCTGCAACAGAAACGCCCAGCTCGGAGAACAGGACAATCTTTTCAAAAACAACCGTTTGCAGACTTTCTTGCCAATGATTTGACGAACAGCTAATTGCCAGTTGCGCACATAAAGTGACTGACCCGAAACCCCTTCGTTCAACATCCGTGTCTGCTAAGGATATGCAAATCCGAATAGCGGCAGGTTGGACGTCGGGAAGCCTTGCATTACCTGCGGCATTCCATAGCTGGACTCACTAGGTCCTTCCCCTCTATGACGACAATCGTAATTTGGTCCCATTTGTTTATCAAATGTGATGAACCACAGGCCATGGGCAATCATTTCTTGTGTTGTTGACTGGCCATCTGATTCCACGTTAAATGCCACAGTAGCTGGTAAGATAAATGTATCGCGCACATCGCAAAGAGGGTGGACGTTATCGGGGTGCGACGATTTGAGCGCTTCAGATACATTTGTCTGTGCTGGGTGGTGCTTTGCACCTTCAATGCCACTCATACCAGATGGTTAGAGGCCTGACAAACTCAGTCTGCTGGCCCTCCAGGTTGGGGTTTGGAATGAGGGTGGCTCCTTATTCCTTAGAACGAATTCCTTGTAGTTCACTGCCAAACCCCCTGCCCTGCGGTCAGGTTTTTAAATCAAAGACTTCGTTTGAGATCCCTAATCATTTCCTGTCTAGGCTTGAGAATATTGTCAGTATCCTGCCCACGCAATACAATCTTATGACTCTATCCTCAAGCAATCTGTTGATGCTCTGGCCGTCGCACAGGATTAAAAGCGGGTCCTACCTACTGCTTCGAGAAGGGTGGGTAGGAGTTCGAACGCTATTGCTCAAATCTTCCCATCTACTTATTCCCCTCCTTCACTCTTTCCCTTTTATTCCCCCGTTTACAACCCCCGTTTTCAATCCCCCGATTCTTGGTCTTCTCACACAGTGCTTTGGTAGGCATTTATCCTCTAGTTTCAACTCACACACAGACGCGGCTTTTCACTACTGCCATGTCAACAAGCATATGTCTAACTAAGTGGACAAGCCCAGTTCGTCGACTTCTAGTTGGAACCCTCGATTCTTCCTCGGACTGGCGTACCTCAACGGACGCACCTTGTTGATGATCGGTCAACAGGCAGCACTTGCGCGAGAATCAGAGCCCCTCTCGATCGATATCTGCTGCTCATCGGAAACCAAAATTCAAGATTCTAGCTTTGTGCTAGCTTTGCGATCCCCTTCAGATGACAGCAGCAGTTCTTTATCACTTCGCCTATCCGGAGATGAGGCGCCTACGAGAGTCGACCAAGCCGGTGTGCGTAATGCTCTGAATCCCCGGGGCTGAATCGGCTCTGATTGATTGGATCCCAACTAGTGGCCGGATGTGCGCCGTCCGACTGGCTGACTCGTTCCAAGCATCGAAGTCACGTCAGGCTAATAGGTACCTATTTGACACCGCTGCATACGCGACCACAAACTAGTACTGACTCGGTGGAAAATGACTTCTTTTGCCAATCGAACAACTTACCTCGTTACAGAAGAATCACGGACACTGTAGTGCTAGCTGGGGATCTGAAGGCTCAAATCGAAAATTTTTCCACCGACGGGCTGAATCTGGGCGATCAACACCGTGTTGACCCCCTTAATGATAGCAACGAATGGGTCGCTAGACCTGTGTGACGATGCTTGTCTATTTCTCGCGAGCATTAACTTCCGACACAGCACCCGTCGGAAGGGAACACGGTGTCCACCAGCCTTGGACGCAGATCGATCATGTTGCTACCAGGTACCGCTGGAGAGGCTGCGTCAGGAACTGTCGCTCGATTTGGAGCACAGGTGTGGACACTGACCATGCACTTGTATGTGCTGACACGCGGATGCGTTTTAGTGGACACCCAGGACGATCCTGTGAGCGCATTGACACCAGCTAACTGGCGAAGCCAGCTGATCTGTATGCATATCGAAGTACATTTTTATTAGGGTTAAGCAAGCGCTCACGGAATACAGTAGAAAGTCACGGGTTGCAGGTTCACCAGACCTTACTAGCAGCAGGTAAATCCTCATGTGGTAAATCCACTAGCGAAAATAGACAATGGGTCTCTTCGCAGTCTCTGGAACTTATCAACGCTCGTCGGCACATTTCGGCTGGAAGTGAACGAGACTCGTAATGATCTCAGGGAAAAGCTCCGTACAGGCGGGGAGAAACAGCAAATCCTGTTGGTAGTAGCCGCTGGCCTGGGTAACAATCGGAAGCTATTCCGTCTGATACGGGAAACGAGCAGCAGGAGACCCAGTGTTAGTAAAACTACGTGGTGAAGGGAGACAGACTATCCATGACAAACCAATACTTTGGCAGATTTGGGCTGAGCACATTGAAGGCAATTTAATCGGTCCGAATTATCAGATAGCTCAGTTGCCAGTGATCGTCCTGCGTACCTATGCTGTGCCTTTGGATCCGACCTCTCGCTCAGAAGTCGAACGAGAGATCGGACTGCTGAAGTTGAGAAAGGCCGCGAGACCAGACAATCTTCCTCCAGTCCTTCCAGGTTCAGGGGATCTGCTCCTGTGGATGACATACAAAGGTCAATAGTGAAACTGTTGGAGTGGGAAATAGTCCAAACCGACTGAAGCCGCTAGGTTATTGTCTCGATTTGCGACAGAGGTTCACATACGGAATGCGTAAACCATAGAGGATTCAGTCTGATTTCCATCGCCACCAAGTTTCTTGCCTCCGTCAACCTTCGCAGTCTGAACGGCAACCATAAAAGCCATACTCGCGAGGAGCAAGCCGGGAGTTGTCAAGGTCGGTGGTGCAGAGATTACATCTTTACTTTACATCAGTTGTTAGATTACTGTCCCATGTATTAGAGGCCCACCATTGTGTCCTTCGATATCAAAGGTGCCTGCGGTCCGGAAATTCAATGTGCCCTTTAGAACTGCTTGCTAAGGAAAGATGTTCCCGAGAAATATGTAAATGTTATCGACCGCTCTACGTGCGTAGCTCGCACAGAGTTAGGGCTTACGGCAAGTTGTCGTAGTCCGTCAATATCGCCGGTGATGTAAAACAGGTATACCTGCTGTCACGTTTCCACGTTAACTTCGCTCCTGATGATGTCTTGGAAATCCCGTTTACAGGACACGATTTAGAAGGTATGGACCTCCTCCTAGGTAAACGAATTCTTGAATTGGAGTATGCTGAAGAGATTGTCCTCATTGGTGACAGCTCCCAACGTGACAGATAAACACTGGTTTTTAGCCGTTACCGTCTTTGCTTTGCGCCATCAAAGTGAAAGGTTTTCCTCCGAGGATGGCAGGGGCCACTTGCTTTATTGATCTTTGGTGGGGATCAGCTAGAAGTCGTACAAAAATCCAACTGACAAGGCAGTTGTATCAGCGGCTGTGGAAGCGAAGGCGAAGTCACAAACCGTATGGTACAAGCTTGAGGGACTTCTGCTAATCTACACAAATATCCGCCACCTGTGACGTCGGCGCGACATCACTGTCTTCCTGTAGAGTAGAATGTACTGTGCGGCCGTACGCTCGACCCTACGGTGTTGTTGCGAAACCTGGCGAATGAGATCAGCCGACATAAAGAGGCAAGTTACATTTGACACCGGTGCTTTCGTAGTTTGGCGCACAATTGGAGGGAACACCGTGGGAGCAATGAGCATGTTCAGCGTCGCCTATTTGGTGCAGGAAGAGGATGTAAACCGCTCAGCACCGGTATTTCACAAATCAGGATCCCATGACTTGGCCAAGTGTTACGCATGCCAGCACACCGACCTTTGCGACGTGCGTTGTTTGCGCGACCGGGGTGTGGACAAAACAAGAGGAGTGAAGGCCAAGTGATGAGTTAGTGAATAGGTATGAAGACACTTAGTTCGAAGTTGGCCTCGGTTGGAGCC